TTCCTTGACTGATGAAGCCTTCCGGATCAAAGGTGAAACGTTTCAGCACAAAAAAAGAAACTGTCCAGATAACCTGACTGAAAAATGTTGGATTGTATACCTGGATTACTGAGCATGGACTTTGTCGTTTTATGTAAAGAGTTTTCTGTGATCATTTGAAGTGATAATATATTTATGTTCATTAAGTGAATAGATAACGCTTTAAAGTGGTTTTTGATACTGTTCATTTTCTCAAAACTGTAATTTTTGGAAGTTGAAATTAAAAATTTTAATTATGTGTCTTGAATGAAAAATACTCCATGTTTAAAAGTATAAAAATTGTATTAACACTAAGAACAGGTCTTAAGTATTTATGTTACACAAATTTTTCCATTTCATTTAAGTGACAAATTGAAGAAAATGATTTAATAAACATGAGGGTTGAGGGGGGTCCCTGAAACTTTTTCTCCCCTGTAATGGGTCCCTGAACCCAAAATGTTTGAGAACCTGTTCTAGAAAATTACACTTGATCAGTGAAGCTAATCTGAGACTACTAATCTGACAAATGTCTGTTTTATTGTCCTTTTCTGTTTCATGATTTGTTTGATAAGAAAGAAATGGCACAAGTCAACTATTCCATAAAGTTTTATTGAAAATTAAAACAGCAATGTACCCATTTAACATAAGAAATGAAGAGAAGCTGTCAGATTTGGTGAGCTAAGCTCGTATGTACAGCGTATTGCACTAGAAAAGGAACAAACATCCCTCCTTGTCCTCCGAATCCCTCCGTCGAGTGAGCGCCCTGCACCATTTGAAATCTGTGCAGGACAAACAGAGCAGTCCCAAAGATAACACAGCCAATGCTTGATCAGAAAGAAAGAAAAAACTGCTACATCTGGACTGGGTCTCACTTCATAGGACACATGAATGTGAAATCCTTGAGACCACTCTGAGTGTAAAAACAATGAAATAAAAAGCAAAAAGACAATACAGCTGTGTGTGTGCTGAACACAGGTTCGTGTGATAAAAGAGATTGTGGTTTTCACTCCATTAAGTTACATTCAAACCTTTAGGATACAGATGTTTCTTTCTTCGGGAATGTTGGACATGCATTGTTTTTTTACTCCGTTTACATACATTAAAAGCCCTTTAACTGAGTGACACAGCCGACTTGGCGATATCCAACATCAAGAATGACATAATGTTAGAAAAAAGCAGTTGTAGAAAAACCAAAGTCAGCTCTTCAATAAAAAGGTAATGCATGTAAAACTTTGTCAACTTTCATCGTATAAAGACAGCATCATGTGCCAAATTCATGTCTAATTATTAAAAAAACAGCAAATCACAACACTCGACAGGAAAGATTCTCTCTTTCTTGTTTTTTTTTTTTAAACAAATTGATATTAAAGACACTGAAAGTTGAACACAAACGTTTCGCTCGATTCGAGGTTGCGACAGTGGACGGTGGTGACTGAGCCGCTGTCCAACCCGTCTCAAAATGAGAGACAAATACTGGGCACCGTGGTGGCTCGTTCCTCTTTCCAACGTTAAAACCCGCAGCCTAACCTGTGTTGTAGATAATAAAGCACAGAAAAAATTAACGAAAACCCCGGCGAGCCGGGCCGATCCAGCATTTTACAGATCTTATAAAAAGTTTGAATAATCTACAAAACGGAAGTTCAGCACAGGAGTAGAAAGAGAGAGAAAGAGAGGCGCAGATACAGTATACAGATTAAAAAAAAGATTTACAGTGCACGTTGCAAACAGTCGTTTCTGGTATTGAGAGGGTTTAGCACGGTGAAAGTCGCCGTTCGTGCCGAGAGATGTCAAGGTTGAGCCTGTGCCTCGTGAGCTGAGAAATCCAACAGATTTGTTGACTTTATTATCGTTTTTGCTCGATTGTTTGTTGACCTCACAGAGCCTGAGTGAAACAAAAAGCTGTGACCAGCCGGGTTTATTTATGCCAAGTGTTGCTGTCGACGACGACCATTACGTTGAGGCAGTTGTTGTTTTTTTTAAATCACAAGGCACGTTTTGTTGGTTTGATTGTCCGTCTTTGATTTGTATAAAAACTCACAGCGTGAGAACAAAGCACGAGGCACGTGGCTTTCATCCAACCTCCCCACACTCAGGCTTTAAACTGAACGCACCCCAACAACGAGAAGAAAGGGACTGTACGAACTCAGATAGCATCTATACAGTAGCACTGGGCAATTCTACACAAAATAAATTATAATAAATTATTTTTAAAAAGAGCTTTTCTTCAGTAAGAGTAGGGAGTAGTTAAACACGATGCTCGTGGAAGAAAACGGCGTGCGTCACATCTATCTGAACTGGCTCAGCGTTCAACGTTTGCAGGAAACAAACTTTTAATTTAGCTATACTTTTCTAGAGAGATTAAAAAAAAACGGACAGTTTGCAACACGCTTCTATGGATTTGTTGAGGAAAAACACTCAGCTGTGCTCAACAGCGTCAATTAAAAACTTATTTTAAAGTTTGTTTTACCGCTCCGAGTGCTGGATTCTTAAAACAACTGATAACTACTCCCTGAAGAAAACAACAACAACAACAAAAAAAAAAAACAATCAGTGTCTTCAAAAGTTTATCAGTTTACAACTGAAAACAAAATCTATGTCTTATCTGTACGTCCTTAAAGAGTTTACATCGACAAATAGCATGTTGGTGTGAGATGTTGCAAAAAGCTGTATAAAGGTCTTTTCCCAGGGATGTTTGTTAAACTGTACAGAAGGTGAAGGTACCAACGGTGTTTTCAGATACGTGAGGAAAAAACAAAAACATTAACCCAAACGGCTTCAGTTAAAAAAGAGCTTTGTAAAATGAGATTTCTTTGAGAACGTGAGGCTTTGTGTAACTGCAAATACACCCCATCCTCGACGCGTGTTAGTCCTCCCACTGAAACGCTGATGAATGTCATCTCTTTCGCAGGCAACCCACGATGCAGCAAATTTGCGATTGTCAATCCATCTAGATTAATAAATCCTGATTATTAGCATTGGTTTGTTTTTTGGGAAAATGACATATTCACCCAAAGCTTTTTATCTGTTTAGATGATTGTTTCTAGTTCCCTGATTGTAACCCCACAAAAAGTGAGCGCTCTTCCTCTGTGCTTGTGCTTGTTTGGTTTCAGAGTCGATCCAGAATGAAAGAACGGCGCGCAACGCCCGACGACAAAACCGAGATCGGAAACTGCGCCGCATCTTCAAAATCGTCTCCTCGGCACACGTTTTTCAAGTATACATGCTTATTGAGAACAGTGTGTGAATCGACACAGTGGGTTGACGTCGCCGCTAACAGGGCGGCGACATCAGGAACAGAGCAGGTTGACGTTACGCCCCCGTGTCTACCGTGGAAGCTGATAAAACCTTAAAACAGACCGAGCGTGTAACAGCAGCTTGTTACAGCCATTTTCAGTGTGGAACAGTGAAGGTGAATACAGGGCTTAATGTTTGTGTTTTCTTGGAGGATAAATCAGAAATGTGCCTTGAGCCTTCAAGGTTTCACATCGGTAACTTCAGCACAGAAATGTTCATGTCCACAGTCTGTCTCCTAAAGGGGCCTAGTCAAACTATTTCTCTCTCTTCAGCAGGAGAGTAAGGCATTCCCTGGACTGATGGAGGTCCTTCAGGACTTGACACACCAAATAAAAAGAGCAGTTGTACGAAATAGGTCATCTTACAAATATTTTGAAAATATCTCTTCAAACTAAATGGCTTCTTCTTGGAGAGGGGAAAAAAAAACACCTCAGCAACGAGTCTCCGTCCAGCGGAGAGAAGGTCCTCTTCATCTTCATATTTAATTAGAGTAAAAAAAAAAAAATCCAAACCCGTGTTCCATCATACAGTGCCATCTCTTAAAGTCCGTTCCCTCAGTTCCCTTCGGAGAACAAAAGCGGTCAGGGTGAAGGCCAGCAGGAAGTCCCTTCACCTCTGCTCTCCTCTCAGGCGGGGGATGAAAGCCTGTCTTGGAAACAAAAAGCCAAAAAGGGCCATCGTAAGGCGCATCCACGCAGGCAGGTTTTGTCTCTGGCGCCTCATGAACTGCAAGAGAACAGAAGCAAAGACACTTAAATGATCAGCATCCATATTTTTCTGACCGTCTCTAAGTGTGACAGCGAGGTCACTGTACATGCTCTGACGTCTCAGGTTTTTGTGCCTTGTGAACTGTGATAAACCCTGTGAGGTAAAGCCATATGACCACACGGACTGGATGTTTCCACAACATGAGCGAGCGTCTCGACAACACGTCTTCGACACGCACACGAAAAGTGCACCCGTTTGCCTTTAGGACTGTCATTTGTAAAGAGAAAACCAAAAGGACCTTCTTTGTGAGCGAGTCACGTTTCATCCCGAAAATATTTCTTGATCAGATAAGCTTTTATTTTACAGCTTGGACTGTCCCTTGACCTTTACGCAAACGTGTGACTGCTGCTCGGCTTGTGTAACAGAGAAGTCAGCCGAATTAGTATCAAAACAAAGCTAAACTGAAACTGCAGCCTCTTAAGAACTCTCCCACCTCGGTCAAGTCTCCATCCTGGTGATGAACCCTCATCAAGCAGACTCAACAAACAGAGATTTTCTGCTGCATCCTGGAATCTCCTGTCTGCCTTCATCCCCCACTGCGGGCCTGAAGCAGCCACCCTTAGACGTTGCAGCTTGTTGCATAAGCATTCTAGTTACATACGATCTTTTTTTCCTGCTCACTTTATCAAGGTCTCTACCAGCCTAGCAATCAGGCCCCGCCACAGGCTATTTAATGCACAACTAGTAGACTGAGCTGAACTGAAGCAGCACCGCTAAATGTAACCCTAATTGTCCTTAAGTGCCTTAATTCTACCCTGCTACGCTTATTTAAACAGTACCCTAGTGTTTCACGAGAAGCTCATCTTTCTGCACTCGTTTGTGTATGTAGTGGAGAACAGGGTGCAGTTTTTTTCTGTTATTACACACCAAACAATTAAGATAAGTGACATTAGGCAGGCTTGCCCCTTTACTCCAGCGTCAGGGTGGGCTTGTTGGTCAGTCTGAAATGCGTCAAACCACAACTAAAAGTCTGCTCCACAAAGACAGAAAGCCCACACATTAGCTCACACTGGTAAATGGTGCTTGGAGAGGCAGATGAAGAAGTCTAACAATAGCAGCAGAGACCATGCAGAGAAGCAATTGGACAGAATAAAATAATAGTTTGTGTTTATTCTCCCCTTGGAATATTCGTACAAAAAAGGTAGAAACCAATCCCAGCCCAGGCGGCAGACAAATAAAAACACTGTCTCTTATCTCTGTTACAGAGTCACACACGCGAAACCAAAACACACACACACAGCTACACACACGCTGAGGCATCGGGAACACTGAGGTATTGTGGGCCGTCGTGTTGCTGGCTGCGTCTATAAGTGCGTGAGTCAGACTCTATTTTTAGACGAGCGTATAAACCGCCGGCAAAGTCTACCCAGACACAGAAGCGCAGATGTTTGCGGCGGTCGTATCGATCTCACCTGTCCTTCCTCAGGGTTTGCAGCGTCATTCTGAAACCATCACTCTTCTTATCGCTCCTGCTACTTTTCGCTCATTATTTGTACGCCCTTCTTTTTGTTCTTTGCCAGCTCACTCTTCTGTTAACTACACGTTTAAGTGCTCTGGAAAGCCACACCTTGTTTTTGGAGCAGTTCCAGCAGCGGTTAAGAAACATTACTTAATAACAATGTTCGTCGACACGCGACTGGCTCAAGAAGAACAATAACATCTCTGTTACTGTTTTATCATAAACCACTGCAACCCTGTTGTGCAGTAAATGTGCCTGGTTCAAATCTGCATCCAAGTCATCACAACTCTTTTTCAGCTGGTCTGTTTGGTGTACAAAACAGTCTATTTTTGGCTAAATGACACATGTGACAAAGTTTTTTTCCTTCCTTTTTTTAAGTTATAAAGCTTAAGCAAAAAGGCTAACGTCGTAAGAAAGCAAGAATATTTATCCCATTTTCTCTTAGCATACTTTATCACTACATTAGAGTAAAAAAATATATAAATTTTGCTGTTTAAATATTTTGTTTCTGCACCTTTAATTAAGTAACAAAGTTGTATCCCTGTGAAAATTTAGTTCAAGTTTTTTTTTTCTTCAGTTTGGCAAAGAGTGTTGGGGTTATTTTAACGAAATGTACGTTGTGTTCATGTAAGCTGCTAAAACATTTGGTCACCTTTAAAGCCTGAACAACAAATTGGCAGAAGCTTTGATTTATGTGAAGCTGTCAGATATAATTAACCAGATCGGGAAAAAAAAACAAGTTTTTAATTAAAATAGTTTCTTGCTGCTAACATTCAGAAACTTCAAACTAATATACTCAAAATGTGACATTTAGATAAAGATACTTCTTTGGTCTTTTTACAATTTGTGCTTAAATGTGTGGGCTAACTCTAAAGTTGGGTTTTAGGTAAAGGGAGTGTAGGAGGTCCATCTGCTCAGGAGTGAGGCTTACCAGTTCAACGTGATCCTGGTTGAACTTGTCTCCGATCTCTCGAAGTTTACGGCCAATTTGCACCTCGACACTCATCCCCGGCTGCTCCTCGGGCCTCTCCGCCATCCTATCGTTACCCTCCCCTCTATCCTCTTCCTCCTCGTTCTCGAGCTGCCTCTCCCCCCAGTTCTCCATGGGCTCAAACGGAGCAAGGAAATGCAATCCAGCGTTGCCTTAAAGAAAAGCAATAAACTTCTTAAAACTTAGAACTTTTGTAGAGGTATCTAACATGCAAAGGAGTTGCTATCAAGGGGCTTATCAGTAAAATTTCAGTGATATGTATTTTTACTTTAGTAAAAAGCTAAAAAATATATACTTTTTGAAGTTGGACTATTTAAGGTAGAGTATTTTGTTTACTATTTATGGGCTAAAATATACAATTGAATCCTCGTTTGCATAGTTTTAAAAGACAAATGATGGCTTGGCAAGAAAACAAGAGTGATGTCAGGATGATAACTAAACACCTTAAGAAACCCACAACACAAAACGTGAACTGCAGGCTTTTAATGGGCTGTGTCACTGAGTTTATCCATCACTGGTATGAGCTGCCATGCCACGAAGAGAGAAAACTACCGGTATGTTTTTTTTGTTGTTGTCAATATGTGTGCAAAATGCCTCACAAAGGATTGTGGGGACGTTGTTTGGAAAGGAGGGCTGGCACCAAGCCAAGTGAATAACATCCATTACTGGTTAGACTGCAACGAACGACAAGGTCATACCAGTCTGAGGTGTTTATGTGTTGATGATTTTAAATCCAGAACAACAGGTGGCTCTCATCCACCGATGCTGAGTCAACACGCCACACAACAATCTGCTACAATATTGGCCCAATTCAATTACAGTGATGTCACAATGATTTCATTAGATATGGGAACGCACTATTAGATTAAAACTGATAAACACATTAGTGTTAGTATGCGCCTTCAAGTGTCTATAGAAGTGTTGTTTTCAGTTTTTCTTTTATGATCAAAAACATCACCTGTGAAATGTGAAATAGTAAATCATGAAACGTAGTTAGACTACAGAGGGATCATACAGCTGTGTAGAAAAATTATGTGCAAGGCTGATTGTTCAAACTCCAGATCAAAGAAGCGCAAGTCTTTTGGTCTTTCTCAAATCTTGAAATTAAATCACTTGTTTTAATCAGCCTGACTAGTAAAGAGAGCTTGATGAATGAGAGAAACCTAATGGAAAGAGTGAATGACTAACAGACTGAGTTTGTAATTTCAAAAGTCCACATTGCTTCAGATAGCCCACAATATTTCCCCCTTCCTTACCGTTGAAAGGTAAGTGCGGCTGCCGGTGAATGCCGCAGGGCAACGTGTTAATGCTGTTGTTGTTGTGGCCCTGCGGCGTGGCCACGGCGGACGTGACGGCGGCGAGGGCCTGTCCGGTTGTGATCTGTGTCGCTCGGTCTTCGTATTTAACGTCCCTGAAGGGCATTTGCCAGAGATGCGGGATGGGCTGTGACATGTCTTCCTCCTCATCATCCATCCGATGCCTCAGCGGTAAATCCCCTGGAGGAGAAAAGAGTGACAAAGCATGGAAACTTTAGAAGGAGTCCACACATATTCAGGGTGAGAATATAACGAGTACTGTCATACTCTCACTGTGCATGATCTTTGATTTGCTGGTCATTGGGGAAGTTTTTTTGTTTAGAACAAACAAAATAATGCCAAATATTATCCTGTTATCAGTAAAAACTTTGCCCTCTGGCCGATTAAATGATCTCATTCTATCTGCACTGGGTGAGAATAAATCATTAGTCATTATAAAGCACAGTAAGAGGCTCATATTGTATGTAGCAGTTGATGAAAAGAAGCACGGAAACAGGATACAATTAGATGGAAACACCCTGTGTAGTGGGGGGTCACAGGGCAGCTATACCAGATCTGCTGCCCTCCTTCAGCATATTTTCACAAGCTGTTCCTGATAATGTGCCAAACTGTAACCAAGAGCCAAAACATTCACTGGAGAGCCATTCCACCTTCAGAACTACCCTAATCTGTAAAGTGTGCCACTCAGGACACAGCAGTGTGCAGTCAAGAGATTATGTTTCCTTCGTACAATGGCCACTGCTCTACACTTAGATGTCCAATTGTTGTTCCTTCTCTCTCAACCTCACAGCCACAGAAAGGATGTGTGTCCAATCTACAAACCTGCACACGTAAAGCCTCAGGCAGTGGACGAGTGAAACAAATAGCTTGACTAGATCGCCAATGAGTGCGTGCAGCAGCCGTTTCATGAGGGAGATAACGAGTTTCACTCCATCCTCAACTGTGCCTGTTGAACACAAACGTTTACTCTCTCTTCTCTGTTGGCCGTTTGCCCAAATCTGAACTACATCATTCTGTCATAGGGTGCTAGTAATTCCTTTGTGTCGTTTAAGTGGAGACAAAACCGGCGCAGATGACTAATGCAAAAGGCAAAACTGGATATGCCAGTATTGTGTTTGCAGAGTGAGGTGGCCACTGCCACGTGTCCCTTTGTAAAGTGTTGATTTGCATGATGATTAAAAGATACTAAGACTTTGAAAACTGTTATGGAGTTCAAACAGATCTTTGGCTGTCTGTCTATTAGCAACAATATTATGCACACTTTGGCTCACAGTTGTCAAATCGTTTCACAAGGCAGGCTAGCTAATTACACTTTTTTTTTTTTACACTGAAGTCAATTTGATATTGTGTCTACCTCTCCTCTGGGTAAGTAGTGAATAAAAAATGCTGTGCAGGCAGCTGAAGCGGCGTCTCTGCAACTGTGCAGCAAGTTTAAACAATATCAAATGTTGCGTGTCAGTGACAATGCAAGCCCTGTCTTGAATTTCCACTGGCAGTCATTGGAGTACTGGCACTATTGCCATGGTGTCAGACATAAAAACAAACAAGCAGGGAGAGACAACACAGAAAGACACACACACACTGCCTGGGGCTAGAGGGAGAGCTGGCAGCCACCACAGTGGAGGCATCAGAGCCCCAGCAGAAAGTGACCCTCTGCTGCACCATCTGTCCACAGGTTTCCATCCATAAAGCTGGCCTCAGCTGCAGATCACATAATGCTCTCCTGGAACTAAATGCATGCCCTGTGGATATTAGTAGCAGGATATAAAACCTGCATATGACACACTACACAAAACTAATAAACACTACTTATCCTATTACTGGGGAAAGAAAAGAGCTAGCAATGTTTAGCATTTCTATAATGGAGTTTTTGCCAAGTCAACAAGGGCTGATGAGGTGTAACAGCAGAACTGTTTAAGGTGTGGACATACAAACATTGTTTAGTTGTCAAAATTAGGGTCTGCGGAGGACCACCGGGGGCATGTTGTATCTGTATCCCGATCAGCAGCACCGGCTCCCGGACAGTTCGGCGCGGAGGACCGCATCACTGCCAAAGCAGCATCCACAACAAACCCAGCTGGGACACTTTGTTCTCATGAAGGAACCATGACTGGCAACAAACCACAACGACAAATAGAGATAAATTGAGCCTCTCTATATAAAACCGGTGTCAACAACTCAAGAAACAAGCTAATTAGGACATAATTTGATAGTGTTGTCTGCCCTTTTCTTAATTTTCCTTAAAAGTGGGACAAGCCTTCCTAAGTAAAAATAAACTCTGGTTCGAAAGAGTGAAAATTACACCCAGGAGAGGTCATTCTTCAGCGGTGAGAATAAACTGCCTGCCTGTTAATGACTGTGTAGTAGCATAAAGTTACGAACAGACGACGGTCTTTTCGATAACCCGGGATGAAACTCACCCGTTACTTTGTCACGGTTCAGTAAAACTTGAGCTTTAACTCGCGACGAGGCGAGAAACAAAACTAGAAACAAGAAATGTGCCTTCTCTCTGCATGTCAACCGCTTGACACGTCTCTGCCCGGGCATGCCCAGCCGGCCGCCCGGTACGCTTTGTTTATCAACTCTGAGCACGCGACGCGAACCAACCGCAGTGTGCGCGAGGGACGGAAAACAAAAAAGGACAGTTGTAAGACTCACCGCCAGAAAAAGCGTTTTCCGTCGTAATCGGTGGTATCTTGACAACCTGGTGTTGGCTTGTTTATTAATGAACCGTAGCGGCGAGACTTTCGTTCCTCTCAGCATTACATCCAGCGTAGATATGCTGGCAGCCGCAGGAGGGTTGTGTGTTTTTTTTTCTCCTTCTTCTGTCAAAATGATCCGCCCTTATGGTTTGTATCCGCCTCCTGTCAGCGGCGTGAAAGAAACAGTCAGCCTCACTGTTATGCAAATACAACGCATTTGACAACGCGCTGACACATTAATGCTGTATTATTTTTTTATTTTATTATTTGCAATAAGGATTTTCAATACATGTTGCTAATGGGAGAAACGTTCGAATGGTTTCTTGAGTAAAAAGGGCAAAAAATAACTATAATTTTGTTTTTTTGTGATTTTATATGCCTGAATCAACCTATAGTTTAAACTAGAATATAATAATATATATTACTAATTTAAAACAACCTTTTGGTAATTTTTAGAGCCCATATTTTATTGTTGTTTAGATGGAAGTGAAAAAAATAAGGATGTCTCTTTAAGAGAACCTCCCTCTTTGCCCTGGTGACACGCTGTCAGCCAATCAGAAGCTTTGTTGTCTTCCGCATTCTGTTTCGTCTATCTTGACACGTGGAAGGGGAAAAAACACAAATCCACAAAAGACATGTGACTACATGCCCTCAGCACAGCTGATTGGGAGCCACTGCTCACACAGAGAGGCTGCACCCACCCAGTTGTTGGTACGGATATGATGATGTGTTGTGAACTGACACGGCAACAAATATTCACAAAGGTAGTTATCAGACATGGGGCGCTTAAAGGATAGGCAAATGTAACTGAAAATGCACCATTTTCTTTATTTGCGCCATGCGGTTAGACCTGTTTTTGAGCATCTTAATTCATAAATTTACTGTCTGTATCTAGATCCAATATTGTAAGAATACTGCCCAGAAATTTTATCTGTTTAAAAGAGCAATAGAGGTGGACTTGTACAAGAAAAAAACAGAACCAATCTAAGGTGTAATTGTAAATAGCGTTTCTTCACACTAGTTTTTATGTTGGTGGCATGGTGGTGCAGTGGTTAGAGCTGTCGCCTCTCAGGAAGAAGGTAGCCGGTTTGCCTCCCTGAGGCCTTTATGTGCGTAGAAAACATGTTGGTTTGAATGTGGATAACATCATCCAGCACTTTTCAAACAACCATGCACGATGAGCATTTTTTCTAAAATAGTTTTGCAAGTAAAGTATAAAAGCAGGATGCAGTGTAACAAAATACATAACAGGATCCAAACGTCCTTAAATGCATCCATCACTACAGAGCCCATTTTCAGTTCAGTCCCCGAGGGGACTCGTAGTGTCCCCCTCTGATGGATGCTTTGTGACAGTGGCGTAAGCATCAACCTTCTCTGTTGACCCTCATCGCAGGCTGGGGGTTCACGTACGCATGGCATCACTCAAAGGAGGAAGGAAAGAAAAAGTGCAGTGAAATCAAGCCAGATCTGTAAAAAAAAAAAAAAAAGTGGGGGAGGAGGTCACTGAGTGCAGAACAGCAAAGCAAAGTGAGACTATCTGATCCATGGTGTGAGTCAGGTTGTCCCCAAGAGACGGGTCTGTGTAAGAGCAGATGCTGTTACCTTTTAGTGCAGGGCAGCCCGGGCAGGATGTGATGTTTTCACACTGTCCCACTCCTTTGCTCTGCTGCTGGTAACATGTGAACTTGTGTGATTCTCTCAACTTTTCGCCAAATTCCCATGCACAGTTTGCTGGCAAACATCCCCCCCCCCCCACACACACACACACACAGCCTCATTCATGTTCAGCCTTGTTTGAGCTGCTGCTCTACAGCACCCAACCCCCACAGCCCCCCCTTTGCCATCTACTCCACAGTGAGAGACCCCACCCAGAACTGGGAAGAATCAAGAGGTTGTTTTTGCAATGTGTCTCTGACTCCCTAAAGTTATATTTTTGTGGGTGGGGGGTGGGGTTAATGTTTTAGTCTCTTCTTTTATTCTTTTTTTTTCCTTCCGTAATGTGTGAGTTGGATAAACATTCAGGCATTTTGAAAAACTGCCTTTCAACTGGTTTTACAATCTGGTTAACTTTAATGTCAATCACACTAAATGACTGTTGCTGTTTTCACGGTAAAATTACTGTTTTATCAACAGTTGTTTCCCACTGAAGCAGTGTACAGTGAGTTACTGTACCCTCAACAGTTCTCTGCTGCTTTCGTCCTGTCAATGTAGATTTACATTGCATTCTGCGGAAATATTAAAATTCAATTCATTTTGTTTATACAACACCAAATCACAAGAGAAGTTGTCTCAGGGCACTGAACAGAAACATTCACATACATATAAAGTCAGTTAATAATGTTATTTATCTAAGGAGCCAGCAGATTGCATTGAGTTTTCAGTTCATCACAGTCTCCCATCCTAAGCAAGCACAGAGGCAACAGTGGAAAGGAAAAACTCCCTTATGAGGAAGAAACATCCAGCAGAACCAGGCTCAGGACAAGCGACCATACAATAATGCTGTCTAATAAAGAAACAGGTCACCATCTTGAAATGAAAGATTTGGTAAGTTTTTCATTTATGGTGAGTATGAAATCATGTCTTTTATATTTTATTCTATAATGTCTTGCTATAATAAGTGGATGACTGCTAACATCTGCTTTATAATAATAATGTGTTATGTGTTGTCATCATTGTATGTTCCCATACAATGGCGAAACTGGCCCTCTGCATTTAACCCATCCACCCCTATGTGGAGCAGTGGGCAGCTATTGAAAGCACCCGGGGAGCAATTGGGGATAGGATGTGTTGCTTAGGGACACCACGAGATGTGCAATGACTGGGTATAAGTGGTTCATTTTCGTCTGTATACAAAAGCTGCTGGAGCATCAAGTTAAAATAGAAGAAAAAATGTAACTTTTAACCAGTCATTTTTTTCATAAATAAGAAAAACTTGTTTCTATAATAAATATGAAAAAGCGTTTTGGTTTTGAACAATTTTAGCAAGTTTTAGAATAGCATAGCTATACAGTTCTCTGAGGCCTCGTGAGTCATTTTGACCCCAGGGCAGCAGGCGGGTTAAATTAATTTAAACAGCAGTGTACTATTCACATATGTCAGCTTGCCATAAAGTTGCAATATTATGTAGGTGTCAGTAAAATATGTACTAAATATGTGAAATAAAAGTACTTAATGTAAACTATACCATAAATAAACAATAACTTAAAGTTCTGTTTGTTACTGATAGTTTAACAAATAAACTGTTGCTTGCATAAAAAAAGGAAATATATGTTATTGAATTGCCACTTTAATCCCTTTTCTCCCATGTCAGTGTCTCTTTTATCCATAACTTGTTACTGCTTCCAAACAAACGTGCTCCTCTCACACAGATACTCCAGTGTAAACTGGAGTCTTCCATCATCTGGGTCTTGTACATTTATTCTTGTTAAACACTGTTTGTATTGCAAATTAATATATATTGTTGCCTTTTGTCAGAAAACATGACATGATGCACAATCGGTGCAAGAGACTGAAAAACACAAACGCATTGTGCAATCTCATTCACTGTTTTGAAGTCATTTGCTGTTTTTTTTTTGTTTTTTTGTTCTTTTTACTTTCACAACTTCATCGCTCCAACCCCTTTGAAGAGGAAAAAAACAGTCTTTGTATGTGCTCTGAACTCACAACTTGTCATCTAAGCTGAAACTTCCTGTGCCTCTAATGTGTCAGGCGTCGTGGCAGACAGCATGTCCCAGCCCATTTTCGTCGGAGTAATTTTTCCTGGCGAGGCAGTCAAAATTTCTCCTCGGTGAGTTATTTCTGACTGTGTGCTGCCAGCGGAGGTGATAAGACCCCCGCATGATGAAATTTTTCAAAGTTCGCTGCATAATGATACAATTTGCGCGGTAGCTTTTTTCCCTCTTAATGGTACCTGACAACCTGACGCTTTGTCTTCCACCTTCAATCATCTCCACATACAAACAACTCCGTCGTCGTTTCTACTGGTATGATATGCACTTTCACATCCCAATTTTATAGTTTCAATCACCGTGGCATTTAATTATCCATATAAATCCCTGTTTTAGCAGCCTGTTTTTCACACAGTTCGATTGTGAAACTACGTGACAGAGATGTCAAGTTTTTACATGTTTGTTGGGTAGCTCTGTCCTCCCCTCCCCCCCATCACCCCCCTTTTCTGTCAACACCTCTTGATTTTAGCCACAGGTACAGCAGGGGCTCAGCAAATGAATTCAGCTCTCCCTGGGTTCATCCAAAGGTAACACATTTGAAGCCCAGAACTACCTGGGGAAATATTTCCCTCACCATTATGTGTATTCCGACACCACTTTAATGTGATGAATTAAATTCAGCCCTATCCATAAGGAACACCGGGTATGTTTTGGAAGGAGCTGTGTGGAAATTAATTGTTGCATTGTGCCTTTCAGTGTGTCTTCAAGCTTCCAGCTGCGAGGGTAAGTTGCGGTAAATGAACTCTTAATGATTACTGAGCTGCAGCAGCTCAGGTGGTAAACAAATCATTTGTCAGGCAGAGCGGTGGCGTGATGACACCTGGGCAACTTCCAGAACATCTTGAATTTTGCAGGTGTCCTTGTACTGAGTGTATAGATGTGGATTATTGTCGCATTAACACTTCTGGGACTGGTTGTGTCATTAGATAGTTTCATAAATAATACAACTCAAACTGTCTTAGGTCATTTATTTGGGAGTAGTTGTAATGATCGCTGGAAACCCAGATAATATGAGCTGAAGTGAGACAGGACTCCAAGATGTAAAAAGGTTAACAGTGAGATATATACCAGTATGCAATGTACATGGTGAACTCTGGAACCCTGGGGAGCAAGGAAAGAGGTCAGGTAGGTTCTTCTCACAGGTAGATGATTTTATGAGCTTTCTTTCCTTGCATGGAGAAGGTGGCCTGAAGTTCCAGCTCAAAGGGATATGAGGATGCAGATACGGCAAGCAAGTGGTAGGAGGGCAAGGAGACAACTGAGGCAGTCCACAAGGAAACCAAGCTTTGTCAAGGAGGTCAGGATCCGAAGGGCCTTGGACATGGAGACTGAACCACGGAGAAGACAAGGTAAGTTTACCACTGTTGCTTAACACACAAAAAAGGCCAGAAGCA